ATTTTCTCAAGTCTTGTACCAAACAATACGACCTATCAGTTTTTCATACAGGTAAGACTGAGGTGTTAAAGGGAGACATACAGGGTTCTGAAAGCCCATCCTTAATCAAGGTTTCTATGATTGGCTGTAATCCTTTCTGTCCCTCTAAAGGAGTAGGATATTGTTTCTGATTAACAACCTCATCTTCCCTTTTCAATTTGATCTTTATGGGAGGTATATTTAGTCCTCCTCTGTTTCCCTCTTTTACCCAAATGACTGGGTCTATGTTTTCCTCATCCAGTTCTGTTAATAAAGCCACTGAAACCAAAATCTGATCCCCTTAAGTTTTCATTTCTGACACTAGTTGTACAATTAAATCTCTCCTTAGCAAATTGCTTCCAGCTTCACGAATGGATAACAATTGCCCTTGAATTGTTTCACTATTTAATTTCAAGGTAGTATCTTCAAATGTGGGAACTGAAAATCCCTCCTGAAACAGTTAGCCTTTTGTTTGATAATTTCAGTCCATGAGGTATGTAATTCAAAATGGTTCTGACTGCCCCTCCATCTAGCAAAAAGGCCACGTCCTCCTCCTGAGGTCCCAACTTTAATTTTGTCAAGAGCTCCCGGTTGAACCTCAGGTAGCGGAAACCTTGACCCCCCCCCCTATTCATTGTCTTCGAACATCATCAGTGGGATCACTTTCTCCTCCTCTCTTAAGATCAGGGCGCTTGTGTTTAAAGTACAGAGGAAACATCTTGTGGCTGGGAGTGCAGTTGGCAACTGCCAAGATCTCCCCAGTCCCCTACTACTACTGCCTCCCCCTCTCAGCCTCCTCAAGCCCTGGCCCCTTCCCCTTGTCCAGGCCTCTCAGACTCCTGGAGCCACGGGTTCTGTATTCTCTTTTCCACTATCTGATTCACCACGGACATCACCATTTTTGCTTTTTGCTTTTGTTTCTCCTCCTCTTGCTTTACAAAAGCTTTTTGGGATTCCCTTAGTAATTCTTTTAAGGGTCCTTCACTCCACCAGTCTATTTTCTATACCTTTTTCCTAGCATCTGGCCAGGCTTTATTTACAAAATGGACTGTTTACATCTCCACAACTCTAATTTGAAAGCCCACTCCCCTTATTTGCTAATCTCCTTTTATTGTATGGTTTCTGCACATTGGTGAACCACTAACCCAGTTCCTGCCCGAGTTTCCTGGCTTAACCACCATCTTGGTATTTAGTTCTGACAGTTATGTTTGTTTAATGGCCGACTGCAAAACCAGAATCTTAATACTTCTTACGCTATCACACTGGTTGTTCTGCAGTCAGCACCCTCCTCAGCAGGAGGCCCTGGACTCTTCGGTCCGGAGCTGCTCGTCACTTGGCAGCACTGCAGTATAAATGAGAACCCTGCGTTGTGTCCTGCCGGCAGCTGTGCCATAACAAAACCCTTGCCAGAAGAGCGCTGCTCTGAGGCCTTGTCATGACGCTGCCATGAGACTTCAGCCAGGAGAAGATGGGTCCTCAGGGCAGCGGATGCGTGTACAGGCTGCTGCAGCGTGTACAGGCTGCAGTCCTCAGCACTGCACCACCCGGCACCAATAGTACAGCAGTCTGTGCACCCCTCCCGATCACATCATTGTCATGACATTTGTGCTCGATGTGGGAAACATGGAGAAGTTCGAGGAGGTCACTAGGGAAAGGCAGGTGGGAAAGGGATTGCAGAGAGCAGAGGGGCATTGCGGACGAGCGCATGGATGGGTCTGCACAAAAAAGAACCACAGCGGTGAACACAGCTGCTTAGAGCAAGTGTGTTTTATTGGGATGAAGCAGATCATGCTCTGTAGCTGCAGAAAGGATGGAGAGATGTCCACATCTCAAAGCACTGATCACTGACAGGCAAAGATGCTGCACTGGCCAGGAGAAGGATGCATCTGATCCCACAAAAGGAAGTTGCCAGGAATTTGCTTCAGGAAGCCCCTGTGTCAGAATGAGGTGGATGCAGCTCATGGTCATCTCTCTCCTGAAAGTAGAAACAGCAGACAAAAAGGGTAGAGGTCACAGCTGCTTGGAACTACTAGATCAAGAAAATTCCACTAAACAGTGTTTTTCCATGCGTGTACATAGCTATGTATTTCACCTGTTTACAGACATACGTGTGTGTCTTGCATATATGCCCAGAGTTTTTGCGTATATGCACACCCATGATGTTACATGACACCTCTCGTAAGTCCAGCCAGCATTGCTGCTGGCCAGAGATGATCCTCGGACTTACCCTTACACTACCGCAGGGCACCGATCTGCTGCAGTATTCTAGGGAGCTTGCAGTCCACGCTTTGCAGGCCGGACAATCCTCCGATGCAGCATCTCCCAATGAAGACAACAGGCAGCTGAGCACAAAACAATGCCACGGATTAATCAGACAAGCTGGCTGCTGGAGGCAGAGTGTGGGGAAAGGATTTGTCTTGGAGGCAGACTGCGCAGCAGGAAGACCATCATTTACAAAATTCTCCTGTTCCCGTGCCCAGTCCCCATCTCTCTGAAAACCAGGGTGAGACAAGAAGGGGCAGGGGAAGCCTCTGCATTTCAGAGAGACTGCAGAAGGACAGAAACATGCTCTGGGGTAGTGCTGGAGATGCTCCAAGCACATGATCCCAGAGAAGTGAGCAAGCAGCTCCGAGAGCTGAGACCTGCGGCGTGTATGGACCATGCGTGTGCCCACGGCAGGTTCTCCAAGTGCCGAGGAATACCAGCGTGCTCCCGAGTGCTTCCCAGCACGTGAAGGTGCGGGGTGGCGTGTCCTGCCTCCCTAACGGCCACCGTCACCATCAAAGTCCCTTGGCCCTGCAAACTCACCTTTCTGGCTCAGCCCCTTCTCCATATACCCTTTCTCTGGCCTTTTGTTCTCCTCCTACCTCACAGCCCTGACCCTCTGCTGTTTTCCTGCCTGTGCTGGTCCCTTTTCCTGCTCAACTCACAACAGTTGCCTGGCAGCAAGATGACAGCAATCACTGTAGAAACAAATGTCAAAACCAAATTAAACTCCAGCCTCTCCTGAAGGCCAGGAGCCATTTTGAATCCTCAGATCTGAGGCTTCCTGAAGGCAAAGCTTTGCCGCAGAGGGAAGTGATCACTGCTGGCACCACCACAGCCACAGCTGCCGGCCAGGGAAGATAAAAAGAAATGTAAACACAGGCAGGAATAGAATTATTGAGACAGTAATAGCTCAAGGAGTGAAGACAAAAGACATGGGCAGGAACAGGCGTAAAATAGTAAGGGGAGAAGGGGCCACTGGAAAATGGCAGCTCGGAAGGCCTTTGCCTATGTTGGAGGGGTCGATGGCTGCCCATAGTCCTGCCCTGGTAGGGGTGAATACAGACGTGCCCACATGCTGCTGCCCTGTGTTCAGGCTCATGACAGGGCTACGACATCATGCAAGAGCTGTGGTCCCCTCTGGTACCCCTGAAAGGCTAAAACTGAGCCGGCAGCATCAGGGACAAGCAGGACAGAGGCATGACTCCAAGAGCAGCCGCTCTACAGGAGGTACGCTGGAGCTTTGCTGTCCTTCATGCGGGACAGGCAAAGGAGCACCTCCGTCAGGGCCTGCAGCAGTCGTGCTGTGCTGAAAGCAGCCATCCGGTTCTGGATTTTCCCTGGTCTGTGTCCAGCCACATGTCTGGAGGCACACCCCGTGCAGGAAAAATCCCCTGAAGCCCCAGTGGCAAGGCAGGTCGCTAGCACGTCCCTTCTGCTTCGCCCCATGGGCATCATTGGATGTTGTTCTCACTGGGGTGGACTGGAGAGGCAAAGCAAAGGTGTGTTCATCACACAGAGGTGTACCACTGAGGGGTGGCTCCTGCCCTGCATGTGAGGGCACGGAGGGGCTCAGGCAGGCGAAGCTCCGCACCCGCAGCTGCTACGTAGGGGAGTGGGCGCTCGCCTCAGCACCTGCAGTGCCGGGCAGTGCCGGGACGCACTGCAGTGCCGGGACGCACAGGACAGGCAAAGCAAGGAACGTCCTTCCCAACGGGGCAGGCTACAGTTTCTCCCTGTCATCTGGCAGGAAAAGCCATGGGGAAAGAGCCCTCTCCTCCACCTCTGCAGCAGCTGGCCAGGCTATGGGCATGCTGGGACACAGGATCAGCAAGTGCTGAGGAACAACTGCAAGAACTTACGGTTCTTTGCCCTGTTCTTTGCTGCAAGTAATCCTGGACATCCTTGCGCTGGGTGATATCGACGACTTCCAGACTTCCAGGCACGAAGCTGTACTTCTTGAGCATCTCCTCAGCGTTCCTGCAGTAACGGCAGCCTTTTTCTATAAAGAGGGTTACTTTGTCACATCTGATCTTGCTCTCCACAAGCTTATCAGCCATGCTGCTGCTTCAAGATGAGCAGG